GGCAAGGTTCCAACTGGGTCAGCGGCTCTCTTTCCAGGGAGTTTTCTCCCTCTCTTGCTTCGTTGTCTGACATGGTAAATTTTTGCAAAATCCCCCGGCAAGGGTCTACCTTCCAGGTGGATTAATTTTGCAAGTCCTGTCTAATGTAAGGACCCACCCCACTTTGCATCTTAAGAAGACAGAACTCTTGGAATAGCTCTTCCAACAGGAATCCTTTATTAAGAGAAAATGGTTGCAGGCATGCTAGACAGGACTTGGGGTTCAAGCTCTCCCATTCAAGGTTTTAAGGGGTTCCCCAGTAGTCCCACCCAATCAACCCCCCTTCCAGTGATAGTTTCAAGTATCACAATTCCATCCCCTTTCTTCTTCCGTCTGGATGGAGACTTCAGATAACTACATGAAAGGCAATTACTCTTCTTTGATATGTTAAAGCTTAGAGGCCACAATAAACACACATTCAGTCCTTGAAGTGTGCTGAAGGAAGTGAGGGCCATAAAGCCCCTTTGCTCTCCCCCTTTTCTCCCTCTTATGGCAGAATCCAGAGAAGGCAGAATTGGGAGTTTCTATGTTTGATAATTAAAGATGAAATATAATTGGATTCTGACATGTTAGGGACTTATTATCATATGTGGTGGACTTGTTCCAAAGCCAAAGAATTTTGGCGGCTAATAAAGACTTGGTTGGAGGAAATGTTGGGACTGAAGATAGATCCCAAACCAGAACTGTTTTTATTGGGAATGATAGATGGGAAGTTTAACAAAGGAGAGACATATCTAGTGTTGCATATTATAACAGCAGCAAGGTTGGTCTATGCCCAGAACTGGAAAAACAGAAATTCCCCGGTGGAGAGTGAACTAATTAAAAAAATGTTGATATGTGCAGAGATGGATAGACTAGCATTAGAAATTAAAGACAAGGATGAAACAGAGTATTATGAAGTTTGGGATAAGATGTACTATTGGTTAGACTCGAAGAGAAAAAGTCAGAACAAAGAAAGCTCGTCTAGAAGAGAGAAAGTGTAGATTTTCAACCTCAAAGTGAGTGTAAGATAGAGATTAGAAAGAATATGAAATAAGAATGGAAATGGAAGTTATGTTATAAACAGACGTAAATATGTATGTAAATATATAAATGTGTAAATAGTATAAAATGCAATATGTAAATGGTGTAAAAGAGCAATGAATAGGGAGATATATGATATATGGTATATGGTATAATATGTATGGCAAAATAACAGCCAGAAAAGTCACACTGTGTTCAAACTGTTTTTAAATGTTTATTCAATAAAAATTTTTAAAAAAGAAAAGAAAAAAAAAAGAAAATATGCTTTGGCCATGTCCCATACATTTTGTAATGTTGTATCTTCTTTTTTATTTTCTTTGAAAACAAATTCCATTTCTTTTGTTGCTAATTCTGTAAACTTTCTCTTTTAATGTTGATAGATTCAAAGTCCATCTTATTTTTTTCTGTATTCCTTTCCATGTCATTTTAATTCTATCTCAATTTCCTGCATATCAGTTTTAGTTCAGGCGTCATCCAAATCATGTCAATTCTGGACCAAGATTTATAACTGTTCAAGTAAAACGTATATTGTAGTTTTTCTGGATTCATTTCTCTTTGAGTATCTTGTACACCAATTTCCTCTATCATGTTGAAAAATGTCTTAGGTCAATGGTTCTCAACCTGTGGGTCGGGACCCCATTTGGGGTCGAACGACCATTTCACGGGGGTCGCCAAACAACCCAGTCCGCCATTTTTTTCCCCTTTTCCTTAGCTGTGCTACTCCCTTTTATTCTATTGGCTTTTGTCCAGGCTGTCTCTGCCCTGCTGAGCCTGCCAAAAGTCCCATTCTGCAAACAGTGCTGCACCAATTGAGTAGTCCTCGACTTACGACCGGTTGAGTAGTCCTCGACTTACGACCGGTTGGGGGTCACGGCATTAAAAAGGTTGAGAACCACTGTCTTAGGTAGTCTCTTTCTTCCTTATTTTCCTGTTTTGCTACATTTATAATCTAGTGTCCCATCTACTATTGCATTAAAATCCCCTAGTAGGCAAATATTTTGATATTCCATTTCTGCTATTTTTCTATGAAGATTTTGATAAAATTATTCTTGTTTGTTATTTGGTGCATATATTACTACCAAAAGTATCTGTTTTTGATTTAAAAATATTTCCACCATTACAATTCTTCCTTCTTCATCTGAGTAAATCAAGACTATGTGTAGTACGTATTATATATGAAATGTTCTTAAAAGTACTAATAAAGGAGAATATTTGTAGCTCAGGGTTGACATGAGGGGTCCTTAGTGCTCTCTGAGAGTGCTTGTTTTCTTGCAGACATTTCATTACCAGCCCAGAGAGCACCAAGAACCCCTCATTTCTTAAAGGTGTTAGACTATTATAGGAACAAACAGCACTGACAGAGAGAGTAATATCCAAATACCATCTTATAGTTAGCAGCAAAGGCAATGTTAAGACACCTCTGTTAAAAAATATCAATCTCCAAAAGCTAACCCCACACAATTTAAGTCAAGTTGGTTAAATGTCACCACACTTCAGAAGGAATGGCACAAGGCATAGCCACCATATCAAAAATTGCTTGGAACAGATTTAATGGAAGAGAAGTTATGCAAAATTAATCAGGTCTTGCTAAAATAGGATTTTTCAAAAAGAGAAAAGAGCACTATAAAATAAAATAAAGAATGAAACCAGTATTCCATTCTCTTCACATTGTCTGAACCACAGGAAAAATATGCTGCATGCTAACAGGATGTTGCAGTGATTTCTGGCTATTCCCCAGGGTATTATTAAGAGAGAAACATTGGGCATTGTTCCAGAGTCCCATAACCTGGAGGAATTAACAAAGGATCTATCACCTCCTTATTTCTCCTCTCCACTATTTGAGCCTTTCTGGAGAAATTAAGATTTCAACTACAACTAAAGTTTAGCTTTCAGGTACAATCAAATTCTTTTACCTGTTATATCAAAGGAAAGAAAAGTGTGCTAGAAGGGCAAATGGGGGTGGGGGAGAGAAACCAGGACAAAGAATGCTTAATGGGTACAGAGGTAAGGCTGACTCCTGGGGCATCTTCTGCAGGATCCCCTTCAACCCTGAGATACCTCACTGAATGAATAAGAGGACAGCAGAGGACTACATTCATCTGAAATTTAAATCATAGTGCACAGAACAAGAAACTGCATCAGGGGGAATGCATGCCTCTGTTATGACCTACCACCACTTAGTTTCAATGTGCGGAATTTCAATCACTCTTTCACAACTTGACTTCTTCCAGGTGGCACAGGGTTTCTTTAACAGCACAACTAATAGTCAGGAATGATCGGAGTATAGTACAGTAGCCTCTGGAGGGCCGTCACATCTTTATTACTGAACTACAGTTCTTACCACAACCCCTAAGCCTTCCTTCCTTTCTTTCTTTCTTTCTTTCTTTCTTTCTTTCTTTCTTTCTTTCTTTCTTTCTTTCTTTCTTTCTTTCTCTTTCTTTCTTTCTTTCTTCCTTCCTTCCTTCCTTCCTTCTTTCTCTTTCCTTCCTTCCTTCCTTCCTCTTTTTTTCTTTTTTTCTTTTTTTCTTTCTTTCTTTCTTTCCTTTCTTCTTTCTTTCTTTTTCTTTCTTCCTTCCTTCCTTCCTTCCTTCCTTCCTTCCTTCCTTTCTTTTCTTTCCATCAACTCAAAGTGGCAAACATGTCCAACACACCTTTCTCCTCCTATTTGCTCTACAACAATGAGCTTTTGAGGTGAACTGGGCTGAGAGAAAGTGAATAACTGGCCCAAGATCACCCAATTGGTTTTCATGGCTAAGGCAAGACAAGAACTTCCAGTCACCCGGATTCTAGCCTGGTGCCTTAACCTCTAGACCTAATGGCTCTCTTCATTAGCCAAAAGATAGGCAAGAGAAACTCACAGCTTTGTAGAAAAATGATGAAATGTATCCATTCCCAGCAACCAAAGATTGCTTGTTCCTGGACACTGTCACAACACAGCTAGGCCCATTGTTTAATTACCCACAAGATAGAAACAGAGACCAACCCCTTTAGAGATGTCTGCACTAGGTTTTAAATCTAGATCTTTTCCTTCCCACTTTCCTTTTAATAAAAATTGGGTCATTCGCTTCCCAATGTTGAGATTGGACTGGATTCCTGGGCTTTTGGACATCACCCCCACCTACTCCTACTATATAATATTTGGATATGCATTCCAGTTTTTTTATTTTCTTTTATTTCATGAGCAGCTTTTATTAATGCTGGTGTGATATAATAGAAACACCTACTGTTGAAAGTAACAGAGAAGAAATAGAAGAAAATAATGTGTTTCATTCCCTGTTTATTATTTCAAAGTGCTTTTCAAACAACTGGTTTTGGGACATGCACAGCAGCTTTTCAAGGTGCCCCAATTATTGTAACTAGCCCAGGTTTGTCAGACTGGCCCAGACCAGTAATCCTGGAGAAGAAGGTCTCAAGCAATTGGAAATGAGACAGCAATTTTATCAACCAAGAAATCCTGCAGAAAACTATATTTTTTGTGACAACATCTTGAAATGGAGTAGCAGAAAATGTTCTTTTTGGATATAGCAGAAGAGACAGTGCTAGTGGCTTCAGGAGGACACAATGTCCTTTTGGCATCATTCTATCCATGAAATATTCTGGGCATTGTGTCATGGTGGCATTGGACTGCTTGTAGCCTTTCCAAGTCAGCAGTGGGAAACAGAATCCAACAAAAGGAAAGGCAGATGAAAGAAAAGGAGGTTTTCACCCAAGAGAGGATACATTTATGCCATTAACTTTTGCAAGCATGTAAGAAACCTTTCATATTTTTCCTCTCTGATCATTTTCATTCCATTGAATGGAAAAAGAGAGCATTTTTAATTTGTTTTTCCTAAGTTGAACCAAATTTCTATCACATTATCAGAGGTGGAATGCATAGGAACTGAAAGGAGAGAAAGGGTGAGCTTTATGAAGTGGATCACTTTTGTGATCTTTCTCACCTCATATTCCTGCTTGAAGCCATACCCTTCTGCTGTTTTCATTTGGTTGATGTGCTGGAGAAGATCGGCCACTCGGACAGCAGGGTGAAGCTGCCCGGTGTGATAGGGGGAGCCTTTGCGTCCACACTGCCTTCGAGGGGACCCCCCTAATAGGCTGCTGGACTCATTGACAATGTTGGAACATTGATCACCTGGAAAGGAAAGGACACGACATCATAGAAACACAAACAATAGATTCTCAGAAGAACAGGAACTGACAAAAATCCATCTATTGAGTGATGAACTGATGGGTGAGAAAGCTGTTTAAATCACCAATGTGTATTTTCCAAAAGTATGCACAGATCACACTGCAAGTTTTCATCAATATTAGCATGCTGCTAGATTTTGCAATACCAATTTATCAATAGGAATTGTGCATGATGTGTTTATAAGAACGTTTACATTAGCAAAAGAGGGGGGATGTACAAAACATCTAAATGCAAGAAAACTGGTTGTGAGAAATATGCCTATTTAGGAGAAATATACTGTATGTGAATGAATTTTTTCACAAGGACATAGGATGGAAGTAACGCTTGTCACTCAATCCAACTTCTTTCTAGAAAGGCAGAAAACTGGTTTCTCCATAATGTTGAAGTTAATAGATGCATTTTGAAAAGAGTGAATGTGAGTTCAAAGTTTTTTCTATTAATATTCACCTCTAGCATTATGCAAACAAATGAATTGATGTAATGTCAGAGTTGGAAAGCCTTTTTTTAAATATTAGAAGTAAGCACTTTAGGCATTTTTTTTTCTCTATCATTCCCAGCATTTTTAACCCTTGATTGTTCTGGTTCGAATTGGCTGGAAATATCTCTCAAAAATATCCAGAGGACTCCAGATTGCTTAGTCTCATTTTAAATTGTGGCCTCACTGAAATGAAATCACTGCAAAATACTATGGTAATTTTGGAGGAAAACAGCAGATTCTGCAAGTCTATTTAGTTTCTCCTCTAGTCCACTCAGAAATGTTTGCATTAGCAAGATAACATTTTAATGTCATGTCAGAACATTAACTGAGCTGTCGATAAAAGCAATTTATCCCCTGGGATAAAGCCCCAATCACTATTATAATGGCAATAATGTGATGCTACTGACATCTATATGACCCCCTCATCCTGAATGGAATTGTCTTAACAATTCTCTGAGTAGTTCTAGGCTTTTATGCCAATTACTCTGAAAAGGAACAAGCTCTGTTCATGCCAGGCAGGTAAATTGCTTGGTTCTATAATAATAATTTATTAATTTAGGGGAGTGCAATATTTGAGAATCCTAGTTTAGATTTATACACAGGCCAGGCTCTTCAACCATGGTTTAAACTATCTGGATTTTGCAAGAACCAATCAAATTACAGATTGATTTGGGGGCATGTACCTAGCATTTTCTCAGCAATTGGAAAGATCTCTTTAAGGTTTCAGAGTAAAATCTATCCATCTGATCCTGAATCTCAGTTAAGAAGGAAGAACATAAAGGAGGAAATTGCTTCTTGACCTTAGGCTCCATAGTTTCTATTAAAATTTCAGATTAAAACTGAACGTAAAAGAAACCCTCCAAAAGTTTTCCATATTTATTTTATATGTTTGTCAGCAGTGACCATTATCAAGGCATACTTACTGTAGAAAGCAAACCATACAGAAGCTCAGGATAAACTCCACAATTATGGAAATGGTGAATCCTGCTTAAAAAAATCTACATATACTTTCTCAAAATCTGGAATGGGAGAATTCACCCAGGTCAATTCGCCATGGCCAACTCACCATGGCCAATTTGCTGCAGGACAACTCACCGTGGAACAATTCAACAAATACAAAAGTTAAATTAATTTCAACAGAACTGTGGCCAATCGCAATAGCACTTAGACTTATATACTGCTTCATAGTGCTTTAAAACACTCTCTAAGTAGTTTACAGAATCAGCATATCACCCCCAACAAGCTGGGTTCTCATTAACCAACCTTGGAAGGATGAAAGGATGAGTCAACCTTGAGCAGTGATAATTGAACTCCTGGCACTCAGCAGAATTAGCATGCAATACTGCATTCTAACCACTGTGCCACCATGGCTCCAATAATAACAAAATAAACAAAGTCAATCCAGAAATAAAAGAATTTCAATAATTTCAACAAAAACGTGAATTGTTCCATAGCAGTTAGTCCTGTAGTGAATTGGTCATGGTCAGTTGATTGCAGCAAGTTAGGTGTGGTGAGTTTGCCACGGCAAGTTGGCTGTGGAGAGTTGTCTTAGATCCCTCAAAATCAGCTGGGTAGAAATGCAATACATCAGGTAAATCAGGGGTTTCCATCTTTGTGGGTTAATGGGCAGATTTGTAATGGTGAGATCTTACTGGTATCACTTTCATGAATTTATGTTTTGGAAAGCTTTCAAACATTGGACTGATCTATCATCTTTAATTTTTATGATGGCATATGGAATCATTGGAAGTTGGGTGGTATACAAATTTTGATTATTAGCATCAACTTTTTTAAAAAGTTGGATAGAACTTAGTAAGCAAAGAATGGCCTCGGATACTACACTGGAGACTCTCCCAGTAAACAAAAAGATATAGTTTATTATCTCTGATATCTAATAAGTAGTTGATAACAAAGTTTGAAAAATAACTTGCACTTGGCCCAGAATATATCCAAAACAAGTGAAGTGCTTATGAGTAAATTATCATTTTTTATCCTATCATATGCCACGTCTTTACTACTGCAGCAAAAACATTCCAAGAGCTAAATTCCCATTCTAATTTTTTTTTAAGCATTGATGCAAAATTAGGGACACACCTCTTGGTTTCCAATCCAGCACACAGTAAAAATGGCCACAGCCATTCTGACAATAGCTTCAAGAAACTACTTTCTCTACAGGCCTCTCAAGACTAACATTAAATTCACTGCCAAGCAAAGCAGGTGCTGTCACACTGACTTCAATAGATTATAAATGAATCACAGCAAAATTGGACTGAAAGCTCTCAGATGCTCAAGATAGAGTAATTGCAGGTTTTGTTAAGAGCATGCTTAAAAAAAACGCATGAAAACCTCACAGTAGCCCAGCCACAAACATAAAATAACAGCCCTGTGTAGATCCATAAAAGAGGGAGATTCACCCTCTGGGCTTCCATTATCTGCAGGACAATAGCGGGAGCTATATTAATCTTGCAGTCTGTAGAGAGAAGACGTGAGCAAGGAAGCATCTTGAAACTCCACTAACAGATGTTATTAGCATATGGCTGAAACTAGGGAACAGAAAGAAATTAATTTACAGCTAAATCAGCACAGAAATGCACATGCGGGTGTGAAATTGCCAGTCTTGGCCTAATGCAAAAGCTCTGCTTTGTTAACTCTTAAAGGCTCATGAGAGCTCAGGGCATAGTCAAAAGTCAATTACAGAAAAGCAGTCCTTTAGGAATACCAGAAACTCATGTTCATGCTATGTCAGTTATATGTACAGACTGCTTTCCTGCCGACACACTGGGCCCTGGGATTGATTTGGCTCATTCTGCTCCCTTGAAAGGTCCTTCCCTTTTTTATTATTTTATTTCTATCTACTCAAAAGAACTATTGTTGCTTTAAGCAGCAGCAATCGCTCTCCTAGGAGAGAATGAAGTGGCACAATTCTCAGGAAAACTAAGCTACTGCTTGAGGAGATGGCAGCTTCTTGTGGCTGTAACAAAGGGCGGTCAATGTTAAAGATTAGCTGAGATGTGAACAAACTATCCTGCAAGTTGTTGTAGATGACCAGGCTGAGCCTAAGGGAGGGGTCAAATGTGTCATCAGTCTCAAATCTCTTCATGCCCACAAGAGATCCAAGTCCAGCCCACCTTGCACTCCACTGACTCTTATCTACTGCCAATCTGCTTTGGCTGTTAGTAGTTCAGATTCTTGTAGACAGCTTAAGCTTATGATAAATCTTTATACCGTAAACGCCGGCGTACAAGGCGACCCGGCGTATAAGACGACCCCCGTCTTTATAGCCGGGCCGCATTCCTAGAACGTCGCCTTATACGCCGGAAACTACCAGTATTTCCGGCGTATAAGACGACCCCCGTCTTTGGCGCCGATTTCAGCGCTCGCGGAAGTCGCCTTATACGCCGGCATTTACGGTACCTATTTGAACTGCCTGGATCTTCTGATTTCCCTGGCATTTGATATTTGTCTCATGCAATTTCTCAGTTTTCTTCCCACGTGAAGAAAAAGAAGAAGAAAGGGCTTTTGTTTTTCCATCTTATTCTCTTCAAGAATTTATTTTATTCTTGAAAGTGAAAGGGGCTCCACCTGTTGATACTATCACGGATGAATACATACAATTTTCTGTCACTCTGCAGTTTTATTGACTGCCCTTTCTTTCCTAGCTGAGCAAAAGTGCATGAGAGGAGTCCCCATTTGATGTCTGCTTTGGAATGAAGGCAACAACAGTCAAGAAGGTTGCAGAATGGAAGAGAATTCTGTAATGAAAGACCAACCATTCCCATGCAGATCTCATAGCTATCTGCCCCTACAGCAGTTCAAGAATTTCCTAGTCTAGACATGAGGGTTGTTTTTTTTCCAAAAATCTCTTCTCTTACAGAAAAAAAATTGAATCATAGAGCTGAAAGGGATCTTGGAGGTCTTCTAGTCCAATCCCTGCCCAAGGCAGGAGACCTTATATCATCCCTGATAAATGGCTGTTCAATCTTTTATTGAAAACTTCCAGTGATGGAGCATCCAGGAGGCAAGTTTTTTCACTGATTAATTGCTCTCATGTCAGAAAATGTCAGAAAATTTTGCCTTAGTTCCAGATTGGATCTCTCTTTAACAAGCTTCCACCCAGTGCTTATTCCTACCCTCTGGCGCTTTGGGAAACAAGTCAATCCCCTTTTCTCTATGACAGCTCTGGAAGTACTAGAAGACAGCTATTGTGTCACTCCTACTTCTTCTCTTCATTACTCTAGACATACCTAGTTCCCTTAATTGTTTAATGTAGGATTTAGCCTCCAGACCCTTTATCAATTATGTTGCTTAACAAGACTTTTTCATTGGCTTAATTTAAAAACTGAAAGGAGAATGTTCTACAATACATCACCTCACAAGAAAAATCCCGTTTTGGGGAATAGTTTCTATTATGTCCCAAATTGCCCAAACTTGAAAACATAGACAAATAAGCAAATGGTTGAATACA